GCACGCACGCACGCACGCACGCACGCACGCACGCACGCACGCACGCACGCACGCACGCACGCACGCACGCACGCACGCACGCACGCACGCACGCACGCACGCACGCACGCACGCACGCACGCACGCACATACACATGCACGCACGCAGGCAATTACGAATGTGCATGTGTCCTCTCCCTTTTTACGCACCGGCAGCGTTTTTTTAACAACTTACATGGTAAGGATCACAAATTCCGAATTGTATGAAACCGTCATGAAGAGTCAGAAAATAATGTTTGTCTTGAAACAATTATATATATAAAATTAGTGCGACTCTACAGATTCGATTTACTTGAAGTCGTAGCCTGAGAGACACGGCGAACCACACCATGGAGATATTAGTTAACTTTGCGATGGTTTACCTATACGGATTTTATGTGTAATTTTACGACGAAGAAATTTATTTCGCGATGTACGCGTTCAATGCATTCCACGGATGTAAAAGCGCGCCGTGTAATTACGTGACGCCTCGCAATTACGCGATTTTACGAGGAAAAATTGATACGATTATTTTAATTAAGCTTATATGGGCTACGCTCAAAAGCGATCACGAAGAATAATCACGAGTAACGAGAATAAAGCTGACCTTTAGTTATGTTCAGGCGGAGTCGTTCCTTTTCCCAAGACGCGAAGGAGGCCTCCAGAGCCTCGGTCATCTTCTTGTTGGTCCCAGGTGTTAACGGCGGCACTTGCGCCGGTATATCTAGAAAAAAAGATACAAAAAGACACGTAAGTTACAAATAAACAAAAATTAGATCCTGTCTTTTTTTTTTCTTTTCTCTAAAAAATCTTGTTTAATATTTTACCGGATTTGTAAATATTAAGAAATTCGAAGATGCGCACATTAAAATAAATTATTTTCTCTCATAACGCTCATACATTTGTGAATACGGAGGTATTAACATTTTCTTACATCTTTTTGTTTTTTTGTTTTCTTTTTTTAGAGACGCGAGATACGCATACGTGTATAATTTCGTTTTATAATTATATGAATCTTGTACGCCGACAAAGAATACCTGAATTTTTCGAGACGACCAAAGAGAATTCCACAGATCGGGTAGAAAACGCGGGTTACAATATCGCGATGTTCATGACACATAGGTGATACGCCAATGTGCGATTTCCGCACGACGGAGCTAATAGTAGCGGCGCCTTTATTTAAAATAAAGGCGCATTGAAACGATTCGCCGGGTCGGCCGAACGGCGAGAGGTAAAGCGCGACGAGGTAAAACGGGGAGGATAGAGAGAAGAAGCACGTTTAAGCACGTGTGTATGCAGCGGCAGCTCCTTGCGTGTGTGAGAAGCGGCGAGTTTACGTCGCTTCTCACATGCAAGGTGCGCGCGGCCGCGCGCGAGCCGCGCGTATTCCGCGTTGCACGTGCGCGCGAGCGCGCGTTTTACGAGCGCGTACGTGCGTCAGGTGTCGCGCGCGCGCGCGCGCGCGCGCGTCGTACGCCCGCCG